CATATACCACGTGATATAAATCGTACATAAATAGTAGTTATAAGTTCGATATAAATTAGTGTTTCTTTAGTTCAAATAAATCAGTTCGAAAATAAATAGTGTCGTGTTCGCTTCTGCAACCGAATAACGTAACAATATGATACGATATATTTCTGATCCCAAGAAACAATAGAAAACATTTTCTTTCAAACGAGAGAATTTTGAAATTTTTGGAAAACTGCAAAGCTTTGAATCTCATTGAAGAGATGCAATATTCATGTCTTGAAGTTCGATAGTCAATGAAACGAGCATTCAGAAACTGAAAAAGAATTGAAAATCGGTTGAGGGAATCGAAAGATATAATGATTCAAATTTGATCAAAAGAATGCGATATTATATACGTTTCATGTGTTGAGCAGTTTAGATAGGTACTGCCCGTTTTGGAATACTCTTCCCACATAATATGGAGTTCAGCATCTGAACATATACAACAAATGTTCCTCAGAAATAATTTAATCATCATCAATACCAGTCATACGTATTCGACAGGCCCAGTCAGTACATCCTATCATCGTCGACCTCGAGATATATTGAACAACTTGTTATCAGAACTCGTTCAGTTATAATAGGACGGCAAAGCTTTGGAATTCATTGCCAATGGAAGTTTTCTCAGAGGTTCAAAAATAAAATCCAATACGTCTACCTTCTTTCCACCCCAACTTCTAAGCCACTGAGAAGAAGTACAGTTTTGAGAAACCCATTTGAACTGCCAATATTCCCTACACAAAAAAGTTATTCTTGGTCAAAGGCTCTTAATTTGATCGTTTTCGAGAAAAATCAACTTTTATGTTGAAAATTATGGTATTTTTTTTGAATTGCTGCTTGCATTGAAGCTAACCGCGGACATTTCCAACAATTATTAATTTAACTGAGTATGATTCGCCATTGTTTTTTTTTTCGTACAATTTTGTAATATGAAGTTTTCCTTTGGTTTTGTTACTTGTTCTTAAGTTTACATAGATTTTGTTTAATTGGCCAAAAGAATTTTTTTGTAGGAGATGGGGACAAAAAAATCCAATAACCCCTCAAAATTTTCACCAATTATGACTTGAAAATAAAAATTCCGCTCAAAACATAGCTTATTATGACTAGAAAACGCTTACGAAAGCTGTTCTCTGTGCGATGAACGGTTCCAGAGATATTCGCAAAAAAGTTAATAGGAAGCTATCAGATCCTGGAGATTTGCGCATATATTATGAAACACTCTGTATAGGTAATAAGAATTATCTCTCGAACGCTCCAGAATATATAATTATTTGTGTTACTATAGGCAGCAAAGTGCTAGATTGACTGATGCGGTTGATTCAGATACCACCACCCCCACCATCATTTTTTAAAATAAATATTGGTCTTTTCATTTTCGTTACCAGAAAATTACATTAAAAAGCGATTTTCTGAGATAATTCGAATTTCTCATTGTATCATAATAATTTCGCCCCCTACCGACCATTTTAGAACCTTGAAAATATTTTGAATCAATTACTTATTTCCGATTTTGTCGATAGATTTATTGTCCTGAAGCTGTAAGGTTTATGGTTTCCATAATATCGTACCTCGTCGACGTTAGTAGGACACCCTGCACATACACTGTTGATGGCTTCTGTTGTGCTATAACCGAAAAATAAACCAATAACACCCTCTGGGAAAGAACTGCAAGTCCTTTTATCTCCCAGTCCACTTCGCGGTTACGTAAATTACTAAACAACCACTAAGTTTGAAAATTTTCAAAATCAAATCACAGCAGAATTAGGCTGCCAGATATTTGATTACTTCAAAAGAATGATAATGATGCCTGCATAAAGATACCTGCAACGCAGGTGTAATCCCTGTTAAAAACTTCAAATTTCACGTCGATAATATAATAATGTAATCAAATATAATATAATATCTTCCCAATATTTATTCGATTTTTTCTCGTCACAGAAAAAAATAGTGTATTATACACGAGAAAAATATTAGATTTTAGCACACAATACCTTCAGCTAAAATCGAATACTTTTTTTCTTTGTATAATAAATAACTATTTTCCTGGGTAACAGAATTTGTGATCAATAAGTATCTCCCTGTACACGTGAAGAGGCCTCAATAGGGCATTCAACTCCCGCATTTTCTCTCTATAAAAATCAATCTAGGCCCAACCCCTATTAGTTCAGATCAATATTTCAACTCCAATTCTCAATTTGAGCTATGCCTTTATTCAGTTTCAGTGAATCAGAGTAATAATTATCATTCTAAAGTTTCGATGTGGTATAGGATGTCAATGAGCAGTTAAGCCAGAAACCTCGCTAGAAACCTTATTTCATCGTTACAATTAGTATATTACGGATAGCCTATAACTACGCAATGTCTTGTTGTTTTAGAAATTGTTTAATCATTATCATGATAAAATTCTCCTTGTCAGTATACAATATTCGAGTTGAACATTTTGATCTCATTGTTTGCATGGGATATTGAATAAAATCATCATGTTGGGGATGCAAACCTACATACCGAACACTGCGAGGAGAACATCTTCCGATAAGGCCTGGTTCAGTAGAAACTGCTCTAGAGCTGTCGCTTCCAAACAGGCAGCATTCCATCGATGGCAAAAAAATCCAGGCCCTGAGACTAGAGCAGAATATGTCGAGGCTAGTGGCACATGCAATGAGACATTTCGATCATCAAAGGATGCTCATAATGCCAAAATAAGGTCAAAACTTGTTGAATGTTCTAACGGATCCCCTTCATTTTGGTCCTTTGCCAAAGCTGTAGGAAAAAACTTCACTTCCAGCCCTCCTCTATCCAAGGAAGATGGAACACTAGTCACAACTGCCCAGGAGGGAGCCAACATTTTTGCGCATTTATTTGCTGGAAATTCCACTCTGGATTTATCGGGAAAACAACCTCCAAACATAACGCCAATTGACAGTCATATGCCCGAGATCACCTTCCGCCATCGTATTATAAGGAAGAATTAATTGTGTCTCAACACCAACAAAGCTTGAGGCTCCGACGGAATCCCACCGATTGTTCTCAAGAAATGTGCGCCCGAACTAACACCTGTTCTCTGCAAGTTGTTCAACTACTCTTACAAATTGGGGGTATTTCCGTCCAACTGGAAAATTCCAAGAGTGCAACCAGTTTCTAAAAAAGGCGAAAAGACCCTACGCACTGCTATTCATTATTCCAAAGATCATGGAGAAAGCGATCAACATCGAGCTCATGAAATACCTGGAACATTCAGGTATTATCAACGATGGGCAATATATGGCTTTCGTCATCAGAGATCAACTGGTGACCTGCTCGCTCACGTTTCACATATATGGCAGCAATCTATTGAAAAATATGGCCGTGGCACTTGATATCTCCAAGGCATAAGATCGAGTCTGGCACCACGGACTCCTCGCCAAGCTTCCATCTTATAGCTTGCCTCCCCAGCTATGTTCTCTGCTAGCTAGTTTTCTCTCAAACAGGTCTGTCCATGTAGTGGTCGACGGAGTTTTATCTGACTCTCTTATCATTTATGCTGGTGTTCCGCAAGGATCGATTTTAGCACCAACACTGTTTCTACTCCATATCAACGATTTGTTGGAAGCAACTTCATGTCCAGTACACAGCTTCGCGGATGATAGTACCCTCCATGCCGCCTTCTTTTCCAGGGCTCCAATACCAGCCAGGCAAATCAGAAACGAACGAGGAAGAAATGTTGACAACATAAATATGGACTTGACAACAATTCTCGAATGGAGATCCAATAACTTGGTCAATGCAAACAAAACACAAGCATGCTTTTCTCTAGAAAATCAGATCTCACTGTTCTCAACATAAGCTTGTCAGGAGTAACTATACCTTTGAAGACATCCATTTCGATGCTTGGTATTACTATCAGCAATAATCTTTCTTAGGAAAATCACGTGAGATCAATTGCTAAAAGTGAATTGCAAAAACTTGGTTTTCTGTTTCGGGCCAGGAGTTATTTCACTTCCAGTCATGATCTATAAGGCACAGATCCGAATGTCTTGGGATACTGTTCCCATATTTGGAGTGCAATACCCAAACATACCCTGAAACTGTTGGATTTTATCCAAAAAAGGGCAATTCGTCTCGTGGGTGATGCCTAGCTCACAAACTGACTCACTTTTCTGGAGACCGTAGAAAAGTTGGCGATCTGTCTCTAATTTATAGATATTTTCATGGACGATGCTCTTCTGAAATATCAACAATTGTTCCTCCCTTGGCAGTCCCCGCGATATTAACCCGTCGAGTTGATGCTTCGCACCCTTTCGTGGTCACTTTGGAGACCTGTAGAACATCTCTTTCCTAAGACTCGTTCATCATACGAAAAGCGAGGCTCTGGAACACATTGCCAGGGGAGGTGTTCTCCGAGGCATATAACCTCCAGAAATTTAAGAAGAACACCAATTCCTACCTTATTTACCTTGGTTCTCACGATGTTGTTTGAACATCACAGTCCTCTTTTCGTGGGAACCAGAACATTAAAAAAATATCCAAATGAAGATACCTTTACCTTTCCATCTTGAATAAATGATTGTTTCATCCTGGAGAATATATATGAATTGAGATTGAGAAATTATGAATTCCAATATATTCAAACAATACATACGCTTGGAAGAGAAAGTTTTTTGTGATTTGGTGTACACAGGGTGTTACCATAAGTGGGGTGATTATTAAAATGGGTGATAGAAACCGAGGAATCGAACCAAAATGGCAGAATATTTTTTTTTCGAGAAAACATGATTTTAGATGATATTGAACCTCAAAGTTTGCCTGAAACTTTTGTGATTCATTGATCAGAGGTTGAGGTTATAGTAACTGAACGCAAGCGACTGTCTTTTGCGAGATAGAACCACCGAACCACCGAAATCATTAATGACTCTTGCATGGTTGCCAGACGTTCCATAATAGTGTATATGAGTGTGAATTTTGAAAATGAATTATAATAATAATATTATTATGCATACCTGTGAAGAGCTGTTTGGTGCATACATGGCCGCACGGGCTCTTGCAGCAGACAGCATCTGGAGAACAGTCGTTGTCGTCATTGCATGATTCGGCTCTGAATGGACACTCTGTAAGCATCGGGCATTTTGAACTTGATTCAGATTTCGGATCTGCAACTGAAACATATTTATCATTAAATGGTGGTAGACAGATAGGGGCAGACTGATCATGTTTTATGTCATGTTTTTCCAATGAAGTTATTCATTTCGTATACTGTATCACGTAAACCGAACATTAAAAGTTTTCCAACTTGTAAAGTTTGGAATTAGGTACTTGGATAGTCACATTCGAAGCAAAGGAACCTGCTTTTTTCCTTTTTATCTTAGTTCTTGATATATATATCGGGTGGTCCACTTAAGATTATACACCCTCGAAAACTCACAGAAAAATGATTTTTCAAAAAACAACGGAACACGTCGGTTTTTATTTGGAGGGAATAGGTTCATGTATACATTATTGCGAAATTACTTCAATTTAGACAATATAAAGGGTGATTCAAAATTCTATGTGAATATTTTAAGGAAATATTGTGGGGATCAAAATAAGACGTTTGCGTTATATAAACATGTGTCCTGAAATTCATCCCTCCAAGCTACAGCCACTGTAAGTTGGGTAAAGAAGAAAGATATTCTGAAATTGTGACTGAAATAACGGATCAAATCTTTTGAAAATCGGCGAACCCTTGTCCTTTCAGACACCTCATTTCATTCTTGCTTAAAAAATTATGCAAACCCACTGTTGGGTTGGCACATGTTTATATGAAGAGAAAGTCTTATTTTGATCCCAACAATACGTTCTCAAAATATTTACATCAAATTTTGAATCACCCTGCAGTCCAACAAGCAGTTTTCGAGATATTCGAGTTCAAATGGTAAGTTTTCTAATTGTGAGTAAATGAATGAATGATTAATTGAATGGTCATCCACAACAAATGTTAGAAATAACCTCCCAGACACTGGTATAGAGTCAATGTGCAAATTCCTCTTGCTTGGCTTACAATCCTCATTCTTCTTTTCGAATCGTCCAGATCAGTAGATTCCGTTTTATAAATAACGGATTTCGAATGACCCCAACGAACTAAATCATTGGATGTCATGTTCAGCGAGTGCGCTATAGATGGCTATAGTATATTTCATTATGAGTCTTGAAATAGGGATTTTTCCGTGACGGTAAGTCATGCAAGCACGAAAAAATCATTTCTAGACGAGTAATGAGCAAGATTTATTTATTACACTCCGATGAAAATGAAAATATAACAATCAAATATTACATAAAAAAGACACAAAAGAAACTTGGAACATTTTTATTTTCACAGTTGTTGGAATGAAAAAACTTGGAACTACTAGACCTGGATTTTACTGGTAATAAATTCGCGGTCGCTTGTGCCGCTTGCTCTAGTATATTATCGGGAATTTCAGGATTTTCTTCAGAGTTCATTATGTGGGCATGAATATGATTGACAGAGAATAAACAATGCTGACAATAGGATGTATGGCATGTATGATTCGTTTCCATGGTTATTCTCAAAGTATTTCCGAGGGCTGTTTCCATGCGATAGCCCGAAAAAGCCTAACAATATTACTAATAGATGAAAACAAGATTCAAAGAAGTGTAATGATGTATTCATTTCATTGGGAAATTTTGGGGTAGACATTCTCTCACCTGTAATCTGTAATACGGAATGAGGCGCATTATCTTGTTGAAAATGAATATAATCTACCAATAGATTTCGATTACAATCATCATCGAGATCTGTGAGAGAATGGCTTTCCCAAATTTCACGAACAAATGGATAGGTCTTAGGGGACCAATAATGACCAGTATGTTTGCGGGACTTGGCCACCAATGATTTCTTCCTATGGAGTAATCGAGGGAGTAATTCTCGAGGTAATTGGGAATTCCTTATCTATTAAACGAAACTAAAGACCTGAACTATTTGGAAAAAAGAATTAGGATTGAATACCAGACAATAACAAACATCTTCAAATGTGCAAGAGATATTTGCAAATTGGCTCTACTATACTGTCTGATGGGGTCAATGACGGTTATTTTGAAGATTTGTCGTGAATACCATTTTAATTTGGGACAATGGGCTTATATCACAAAAAAATTGTATTTCATAATTCAATAGAACTCACCCAAACTAGCTCACCACCTCAAACCGTTTCTTGCTGTGAGCTCCCTACGTTTTATAAAAAATTATTGAAATCCCCGATTTTTCGGACCTCTGAAAACGATGATGTGACGTCAAAACCCTAATACTGTAACAAGACTATTCCAGACAAAGAGGAATGATACATGATTTCTGACAGAGTGAATTAGCGTGAGATCACCGTTGAAAGAATTAATATATCAGTTGTCTCAGTCTCCGTCGGGCGTTTGGTATTTTCTTTTAACTATGGCACACTATAGCGAGATGAGGTTTCTACGTCATAAGAGGGTCCGTTTTCAGAAGGTACTATTATTTATGTCCAGAAATAAAACATTCCAGTTAATTTTTCGATCGAATTATGTCGTCAATCATTATTTATGTATAAAAGGATCATTATAAACAATGTTTGAGTTAAAAGTTCTACTAAGGAGTACACGCCCTTAAAATATATATCATTAGAACTCGGATATCTTCGAGAACGCATTGTTGGAAACTTTGCACTACTATAGTGTCAGAATTACATTTCCTATGCAATAATGTATAATATGACCATAATCTCCTCTTCAAATTATTGAGATGGCTGCTCTGGGGAGTAGAGGTTTGAAGTATTATCTATTTTGTTTTAAAGGGGGAAATAATTTTTATCAGAGTTATCGAAGGTAGATAGCTTCAATTAATCCACCCGGTATATATTATTGATTTCTAATGTTTATGATGATGATCTGTGCCTGACTGTCCCATAATTTCACCCACTCTGTATATGCTCAAATTATCATTGAATGATTGAAAAAGAATATCGACAATATCACGGAAGTGAGAGCTTAACATTCATTAATAAAAATATACAGTTCGTTGAAATCATTTCTAGAGAAAAGGCCATAAACATCGGAATATACCTTCATGGCTTGCTAAATTCGAACAAAGATTCTGAATAGATTAGTGAAAGGAACCGTTAATTACATTCACTTCATCTGAAAACATTTTCAAATGCGGTAGGTGAGTAAGTACCTATACTCACAAATATCATCATGATTTCATTCAAGGTGACATGTATTATAATATCTACACAAAAAAAAGAGTTCAACTAGCAACACTTCAAAATAGGTAGGTGAAAACATGAATACTAGATGGGGACGGAGATAGAAATCCAAGATGATAACCGCTACCAAAATAGGATTCCTGAAAATGATCACCTACTGTATGAGAAGTTGAACAATGAATTACATATTTTTCAATTCACCTATGAATGAATATCACCTCTTTTTCAAATACTGTCTGTAGGTTAATCGAAGAGGTGGTACATTCATTTCACTTGATTTTTGGGATTTTCTCTCCTCGTTTCTATAAAATAAAAATATGCGTATTATTTCAATATATTTGTAGTGGGACAAATCTGATCCGAATCTGCTCCCGTTCTCAACATGAAAATGCAAAATATGTCTCTTTGGAAGTTATGCAGCTTATAGTTTGACACTTTTCAGATTCGGCTCCGAAACGTCCAAAGATAAGTAAAAATTCGATATTTTTTCAATATATCTATTTTTCTTTCCTTCAAAAATTTTTTCAAGCAAATTGTCACTAACAAGGTACTGGATTTTTCTTTCAGGCTCCCAGATAGAAAAATTTCTTAAACGCAGTGACATTTTGGGGCAAATCATCTGATTTGTCCCACTACAAATATATTGAAATAATATGCATATTGTTATTTTATAGAAACGAGGAGAGAAATCCTAAAAAATCAAGTAAAATCTTTTGCAAATATTCGTCAAATGAGATGTCACTGACTATCGATTGCATTTCTCTCGGAGGTTTCTAATGATGAAATTCCAAGCGCAGTGAGATTATGGGAAAAATCATCGGATTTGTCGTTACTTTACCAACAACATTTGTATTTACAGAAATGTGGATGGAATATCTAAAAAATCGAGAGAAGTGTATATCTCCTGGGTGATCTTGTGTTTTTATGATTTTTACATATTTATCATTTATTTTATCCACCACTAGCTATTGAAGCTACCATTATTTACTCATTTTCGAGACGTAAAGTTTGTTTTTACTATCAAGGTGGATTCGCTGGAATGGCACTCGAATCTAGTAGGTATTTATTTATCAATAACGGCTTGTCATATGCTGTCATGGTCATGGTTACTAGATTTTGATTAGAATTGAGAAGCATTGCTTTCATAGTGACAATAGGTTCATATTTCAGTTTCACAAAACTGAAGTGAGTGAAAAAAAAATATATACACCTTGGTAGTGACGAATATTATGACCAGTATTATATAATCTTACTATTGTCATATGATAATTTTTTCGCGATTCTAACGAGCCCCTCCCATTCTGGGTGCTCTAGTCGATGATGTTGTGGGTTCTAAGATATGAATACATCGAAAACATCAGTGACACTTGAAATTTCTTTCATATAATCAATTCATAATGACAATTTTTATTTGACTGCATATAGATTGCTGAAAAAAAAAAAGAATGCAGATATAGTAGTTTACCTAACGGTAAGTGAGGAAAAGTCATTTTACGCATATGTTAGGTACATAATTTTTTCTACGTGAGGAATAAACCCAGAATTCTACATAAAAAACATTTATTATTTTTAAATATTCAAAACTCAGGATACTCCCCAGAAACTTAACTCAAGTTCACTATGCCGCACTAATGTGGGAAAGTGACTCTGCCAGCACTAAAATGACTGCAGAAAAATGGACTTTTCTGCACGCTAGTAGAACGAATATTTTTAAAATTATTGTATCGGACTTTCAGTGTATTGCCAATAATTCAACAGACGGATGACGGCATGAAACAAGGGTATTGGAGCATGGTAGCCTTTGGCCTACGTTCATTAGGAAGTTGATTATGTTGAAGATGTTGAATATAATCGAATGCAGAACGTCGACACGGTTCAATTCTGGAAACAAGGATAATTAATTTGAAACAAAGCTTTATAGGTAA